GTCTTGGGGCTCTCTTGGGTTGTCTCGGGGCCCTCCTCGGGGCCTCTTGGGCCGTCTTGGGGTGATCTGGGATGCCTCTTGAGCCGTCTTCGACGCCGTGAATGCAGAAAAGTCGCACGTGCTAGAAATGCATGCTTTCTGGAGGGAAAGGTGACGATTCTTGCCTCTTGGAGCTCTGCTGGGAAGGCTCGTGGAGGCCTCTTGGACCGATCGGTTGGAGACTCGGGGCATTCTTGGACCGCGTGAATGGCCTCTTGGAACCCTCTTGGCCCGTCTGAGGGCCCTCTTGGGGCACTCAAGGGCCGTCTTAGGCCCTCCTGGAACGCTCGAGAATCAGCCGCTCCGCCGGGCCGGAAATCAAGGCAAATCCGTTTGATCCGTTTTCTGGGTATATAGGTACCCATTATATCTAGCACGTGTACACACATATTTATGTATACATCTATATATATATATGAAAAGAGATGTTTGTGCGCCGAAGGGTATTGTTCGAGAGCCGATCGTCGATCAGCATGCACCTGCCTCGACACGCAATATTACACTTCATGTGAAGTTTGCCACCGCCGCCGTCATCCTCTTCCACCTCCCTCCTCCTCCTCTTCATCCTCCACCTCTTCCTCCTCCTCCTTCTCCTTCTCCTTCTCATCATTATCATCATCAGCATCATCATCATCATCATCATCATCATCAGCATCATCATCATCATCAGCATCATCATCATCATCATCATCATCAGCATCATCATCAACACAAACATCAACATCAACATCGGCATCATCATCATCATCAGCACCATTATCATCATCAGCATCAGCATCATCCTCAGCATCGTCATAGTCATCATACTCAGCATCATCATCAGCAGTCTCATCATCAACATCAATATCATCATCATCAACATCATCGTCATCATCATCATCGTCATCATCATCAGCATCACCATCAACATCAACATCAAGATCGGCATCATCATCATCAGCAGCATCATCATCATCATCATCATCATCAGCATCACCATCAACATAAACATCAACATCAAGATCGGCATCCTCATCATCAGCAGCATCATCATCATCATCAGCATCAGCATCAGCATCGTCATAGTCATCATACTCAACATCATCATCAGCAGTCTCAACATCAACATCAATATCATTATCATCGTCATCAGCATCATCATCATCGTCATCATCATCAGCATCACCATCACCATCAACATCAACATCGACATCAAGATCTGCATCATCATCATCAACAGCATCATCATCAGCATCAGCGTCATCCTCACCATCGTCATAATCATCAGCATCAGCATCATCATTCACACTCTCAACATCAACATCAATGTCATCATCATCATCATCATCATCATCAGCAGCATCATCATCATCATCATCATCCGCCTGAGGAAGGTAGAGGAATCACAAGCTGCATGAGCTAGGATACTGGCTTCGGGGGACCATGCCCGCCTCGTGGACAAGAGTGCCAGAGCCGCCCGATCAAGAGTGTTGGTTCCAGACTGGTCTCCATGACGGGGAGTTGTCGATGGAGTCCTGGGGCCAGGCGAGGACGCCAGGCCCGTGCTGCTGTTTGGCGATGCCAGTGGCGGCCAGGACTCCAGAGATGCCAGGTTTCGCCGCGTAGTGCTAGGCCTTGCGCAGATGGCAAGCGAGACGGACTTCCAGCTACAGGTAGCCATATTCGGTGCTCCCCCAGGTGCTTTCCAGGCGGTAAAAAGAGGAGAGATTTACATGTTTTGAGGTTGCCTTGCGGATGACGTCACAATACCTTACGTATGTGACGGATAATGATATGGTGTTCGACGGTTGGTAGACCCAACAGTACCTTTGGCCAACAAGAGAGCACGCTGAATTACGGGCGAAGATCGGTCTGTTATTCCGTGATGGCAGCAGGAGACCCATGGCACAGTTTTGTTCACGCATTCGCATCTGGAGGCCGAAGATATTGTTGTCCACCAGACGGGTTCCTCGTGGATGGCGTTCGGCAACACAACTGCAAATGTCCTGGCAAGTGAAGGTGCAGCACTTGCGGGAGCACCCGAAGGTAGCCGTGCCAGTATCTTGGAGAAGGAGCGTGTGCTGTACAACATCCGCATGCGGATTCTGCGGGCGCACCTCGACTCGCTGGAGGCCGAGAAGCAGCCGCTGCAACCGAGCCTCCAGAGCGGGAGGCGGCACCCGAGGCGAGGTGCTCGGGAGTCCAATGGAGGAGTGATTGACGGCGAGCCTGCTGATACTGTTGCTCCGGTGGGTGAACTAAAAGTGTCCACACGTGTCTCGCCAAGACCTTGAGTTATTCAAGCATGTCGGACCATAATGTACACCCCCCTTCCCCAAAATTCAAAGTTGACGGGTGTGGGCGGTAGGCCACAGGTCAGGGACAAAATGTGGACACTTTAACTCTGATTTGGGGGGGGGGGCGAAGCAAGGGCATTTCCCAATTGTGGTTGTCATCATGTTGTATCGCCTTCCCGCCATGGGTGTGGACACTTTTTGTCCGGCCACCGTCCCCCTCTCCCCCGCCTCCACCTCCTTGCCCTGATCGTATTTCTGTCTTTGAGGCGTCCCACGCCCTCTCTGAGTGTGGTCGACGGTGCCTGCGGTGTCGTGGGTCTGCGTCGGCTGCCCGTGTCAAGGTGTGGCGTCAGTCTCCGTGTTTCAAGCTCGTGGCGATAGATAGCTCCCTTCGTGCACTTCCTGAGGGGGACACCGTTCACCTCGCTGGGGATTTTGTGACCCCTTCCACTGCCTGAGGTACCATGATGTGTTAATGATTTGGTGTTGTGCGAGTTGTGGAATGTACGGGGACCAGCAGCTCCTCGGCCTTGGGAAGGTTTGCGTTCCTCAACCCACACCCACCAGGAGAGTATCTCCCTTTGATTGCTTTGGGGCAATGGCCCAAGGTATATAGCAAGGCGGAACTAGCCCGTCAAGTCCAGAAGAGGTGTCAGTAAGTGTTGGTAGGACCACGCCCAGGGACTCCAACTTCAACTCCTCCTCCTCCTCCTCCTCCTCCTCCTCCTCCTCCTCCTCCTCCGCCTCCGCCTCCTCCTCCTCCTCCTCCTCCTCCTCCTCCTCCTCCTCCTCCTCCTCCTCCTCCTCCTCCTCCACGTGTTGACCGCACTCCCTGGACTCCTCCCGGGGTGCGCTCTGACTGGCGTGTCCATGAACCTCCAGCCGCGGCAGCGAGAGCTCTCTGGGCCGAGGGCCCTCAGCATCTGTGCGCTCACGCCGGCGCGCGGCGGTCCACCGAGAAGCCCCTCGGTGCGACGCAGGCCAGTGCAACGAGGGCCGAGCCGAGCGACACGACTGAGCGACGATCGAGAACGGGTCTCACGCAAGACGTCGCAGCGACCGTGCGCGGCGGCTTACGCGGGCCGCCAGCGCGGCACGCCACATTTGAAGCTTGAAGCGAGGGCGCTTACGCGCGACCTTACGCGAGCAACTGAAACGCCAATGTCCGCGAAGACGACCTGGTGTTCTTGCGTCGCTCACTTGTGAGTCCAAAACGCGGGCAGCGGACCACCAGAAGGCCGTCCAGAGGCCTGTCGAATGGCTCCAGAAGCTCCTGGAAGGAGCTCTCCAGCAGGAACTTCTGGAGAACTTCCAAGCAAACCTAGGGGGAAACGCTCAGAAAAGGCCCGCCGGTACACGCTGCCACTTCAGGCAAGTCGCGCGCGGAAGTGCCTTCACGGGAGCCGGAACGAGCCCCAGGGCTCCCCTGCGGCGCCGGCTTCTCATCCTTAATCCTACAACCCTACAACTCTCCAAGGAGCTATCCGGGGACCCGGATAGCACACGTTCTGAAGACCATCAACCAGGGCGAGCAGCGGCATCGGCACATCCTCCTCCGCCGGCTCGCAGGCACGCCTCCCGCACTGCGGGGCGGCGCGGCGCTCCTCCAGCTTCCCAGGCTTGCCTGTGTCGGGGCTCGGCCTAAACGATGCTGCCGTCCGTCGCTTTCGTTTTGTGTTCATTGGCTCCCCGACCTGTCTTCGATCCGCTCTTGCTGCAGACAGAAGCCAGAAAGAACACGGCCCACGAAATCGTTCATGGAGGGCCCAAACATACACACCACCACCACCTCCCTCACCCCCTCCCCCTCCCAGGAAAGAGGAGAGGCGCAGGAGGAGGAGGAGGAGGAGGAGGAGGAGGAGGAGGAGGAGCAGGAGGAGGAGGATAGAGGAGGGAGGAGGAATCGACGAGGTGGTGGTGGTGTATCTTCCTGGGGCCCCCAGGGGAAGCACCGCTTGGCTGGAGCCCTGGCCTGCTTCGCCGTAGCGCAACGCATCTCTTCGCCGCAGGTCGCCCGGCACCTGCCAGAGCTCGAGGATGCTGGCGGGCAGCTCCCGGATCCTGCTCTCGGCGCGGCGCTCTGGTCGGGAGCGGCCAAGAGGGGGGTGTCCAAGAGGGGGGGTGCAAATCATGACCGGCGGCATGTGCGCGGCCCAGCGGGGGGGCCAGGGACGTAATGAAATAAGAAGAGGCGCCATGAAATCTGGGGAGATATCACGGCCCCCGCCATGATATCCCCCCCCCCCCTAGTCATCACCCCCCTCTTTTCCGTCCCCGCACTCTCCGGCCGTGGTTCGCGCGCCCCGGGGCGCGTTCTGCTCGGTGTTCGGGCACTCTCCGGCCGTGGTTCGCGCGCCCCGGGGCGCGTTCTGCTCGGTGTTCGGGGCGCTGCTTCTATAGGGTGGCCCTGCCCAGGCCACCGAAGCAGACTGCCAAAAAGGGACTGAGATGTCCAGCGTGTTGCGGCGGCGCGCTCTCGCACCAGGAGGCCGGTCCAGACGTCGGGAGCCACATCGACGAACCCAGCACGCTGCGAAAGCCGAGGATCTGGTGCCAGAGATGACTACCTACCAGATCACCCCAACCCAACCCGAAGACCCCAATTTCGGGTTGGGGGGGTACGGGTTCCATGCGTGTTTTTTCAGTGTTCCCCGACCCCCCCAAACTGGAAATGGAGGGCAAATTGAGGCCTTCGGGTTGGGTTGGGGTGGTTTGGTGATGCAGTGGGACAGAATCCGAACGGATTCTCTGGCAGGCCTGGGTCGACCGTGCCCTGGCAACACGCACTCTCCCCGACAATCCGCCAGCCCGCCCTGAGGGGGCCATCAGGCTGCGAGGCGTAGGTGGGCGCAGCTGAGCAGCATAGACCTCGTGAGTTCAATATCCACACCGCTGCAGAATCCTCAGGGGCTGGGGTACTTGGAAGGATTTCACAGAGCACAGGGCTGCCGCATTTCTCAGGAGGTGATATTCAAGATTTCTGAGAACGCGCGCGATCACCTCAGCCGAAAACGTCTTTTCAACACCCGCGATACACGTTCCCACAGCTCCCCAGCGCCTCAAGGCGCGTAGAATCTATGTTGGCCCGCGCTCCCGAAGCCACGATCCCCCGTGAAGTATCTAGGCCACTGACCCAACCATATGCAAGTGTAAGCGCCGCCTCGGTGACAGGCTCTGCCAGCGCCGCTAGGGGCTACACAGGGTCTCGCGGGGAAAGAGAAAGGTTCGAGTACGCCGAGAGCTCCACGGCGGGCTTCGTGCAGCTCGTGCCAAACCGCGTGCTGACGGGGCAAGAGTTCTACGACGCCCTGCAGAGCGAGCCGGGCGTGCAGGAGATGACAAAGGAAGGAGACAGAGACCTGGCAGGGCAACGCGGGCAATCATTTCGTGGAGCAGAACGTGGGCGTCCCTGTGCCGTGCTCTGCCAGCCCGCCGCTCGAATTCGAGCTCACGTGCAACCGGCACATGAAAGACATGCCCGATCGCCCTTTCACCGCCACTGCGTGCGGCAAGCCTCCTCCCGATCATTTGCACTGCAATGCGTGGCGCATCGTCGTGCACGTCGTCGAACGGAGGGAACGGATGCCCGCGCACGCGCAGGACCGCTGCAAGCGCGCACTGGCAGCCAGGGCGGGCGCGTCGCTGCCCGCCGAGGACGTCGTGCCCGATGAGCTTCCACACGCATCCTGCCAGGATCACTCCGAGGACAACTCCGCCAGGAATAGCAGGGTCGCAACCGACGGCGGCCCGCCAGAGGTGATCCAGGCTCTGCGAGCTCAGCAATGTGAGCCTTTTTTGATTCGGCGTTTCGACATTGGGCGGAAAGGGGGGGGGGGAGGGGGAGGGGTCTGGCCCCAGACCTCTGCTCAGTGCGACTGTTTGCAAGAGCGCTGCCTCTGGGGGAGGCCCCACCCGCTCGAGACAGGCGCCAAACAACAGGCAGGATCTGCTCCATCGGGGGGGGGAGCGAGGGGGGGGAATTTGGGGGGGGCCCGCGCCGATCGGCAAAACAATGCATCAACAAAAACGATTACTTTTTTCCTCGGCGTTTCGGCACTGGGCGGGAGGGGGGGGGGGGCGTCGGGCTCCGGACCTCTGCCGCCTAGCGCGACCGCTTCCACCAGTGCGCCCCGCGGGGGAGACTCCACCTGTTTGAGACAGGAGCCCAAAGCAGCCAAAATTTGGTGGGCGAAGAACGGTATATTATGTATGTGTATGTGTATGTATATGTAAATGTATTTGTATATGTAAATATATGAGTATATGTATATGTTTATGTAGATGTATATATATATATATATGTATGTATGTATGTATATATATATATATATATATATATCCGTCGCGGGGGGCGCGGCTGGAACATTTGTACCTTGACGTGCCACGGCAAGGGTATAGACTTTCCAGCCGCCCTGGGACAGGCGCCCCCGGCAGCGAAAAAGCTTATGTTATGCCGTTCTTCGCCTGTGAAAGGACCTACTCCACGGGGGTGCGAGGGCCCGCGCCGATGGGCAAGACAACGCGTACGAACACGAGCACCACAAGACTCGCCGTCCCCGCTCCCCGCTTCACCGCGCCGTGGCGCTCTCCCGCGGCCCTACCCTCGCGGGCGCTGCACGTCGACAAGACAAGCCCACGGTGCCCCCGGGCGCGAGGGGTGTCGCCCCAGACGCCGATGCAGGCCGAGAAACGCCGCGCGCCCCGGGCGCCAGGCGCGGGCGGTGCGGAGCAGCGCGAGGCGCGCGCGCCACCGGGGCCAGGCTCTGCCAGCCCCGTGGCGATGGCGGGCCCTCCAGCCGCGATGGCGCATCCCGTGTCGAGCGAGACGCCGACGCAGGTCGAGAAGCCCGAGGAGGAGGGCGAGGAGGGCGAAGGCACAGTGGAGCGGGAGCCGGACGAGGACGGGCGCTGCGTGGAGAACGCTGCTGACGTGAAGGAAGAGCTTGCCACAGCGTCCGACGGCGACGCGGAGGAGCTGCGCGCAGGGAGGGCGGAGACCGCCGAAGTCGGCCGCGCACTCCGCGACGGGCTGGACGACGTCCAGGCGCTCTTGCACGTCATCCGCGGCCAGGGCATGCCCGAGCCCGAGAACCGACGGTTCGACGCGGTGCGGGACATGGCTGCCGCACCGTCGACGTGCCCGCCGACGTGGGCGCCAAGGCAAAGGGCAGCCGCGGGCGCAGTGTCGCTGTGGGCGTCGCGCGCACGGCGCACGCGCCAGGGTGAGCCAGCGCCTGGCACGCGGGTGATGTTTTGCGAGCGGCCCAGTGCCAGGCTCTGCCATCACAGAGGCGCATAGCAGGTCCCTCCAGGCCGCGCCTGAAGACTCCTCCCGTCGAGCCCGCTCGGGCGGAGTGTGCGGCGCTGCTGTCGGAGCTCCCAGACAGTGTGCACGAGAAGCTGCTCGCGGGGAAACTCGCGGACGTGGAGGGCCGCAGGAAGTCGATGACCAACTTGGTTTCTCTCCACTCTGGCGAAGACGTGGAGCTGGACCCGCGGCGGACCACATGGCGCCTTCGCCTGAAAGCACCAGGCCCTGCTGACTAGCCGAACCCTCAGTGGAACTGCTGCAAGGACCGGGCCGCCGACTGCGTCACCACCGCGGGCCGAGGCATGGGCGAGCACGGGCAATCCGCTGTGCAGGCAGTGCTCGCCAACGAGCCCGCGCAGGCCAACCTCGCAGCACACCGCATTCTCCGTCAGCGGGGCGACCAAGAAGGCCTTCTGTCAGACTGGCTCGAGCAGCGCAACCGGCGCATCGTGCCGTGCAAGAGCGCCGACACCCACGAGTGGTTGCGCTCGGGCCCGGCAACACATCGGCCACCACCAGAATCGTCGCAGTTGCCACCTGTTCCCCCCCCAACAACCTCTTTATCACCCGAAAGGCAGTCATATAGGTAACCTATCGTGTTTCGGCTGACGACCCAGCCAAACAACCAACAGGCTTCCTATCCAACCAGACAGCTAGCCTGCCAACCAACCAGCCAAGCAACCTGCTAACCGTTCACCTAGACAACCAACCTTCCAGCTGAGATATGCCAACCAAACGGCCTGCCGCTTATTCTGCCCGGTTGTTGCTCTGAGTCCTGTTGTCCATCATTCTAATCTTCGTCAAGTTGCTGCACTCCCCGATGTCCTCGGGTAGCGCCACGAGCTCATTGAACGAAATAAATCCGCCACCGTGCCCAGAAGCACGATATTAATGTCCTCACGCCTCAACGAGCTCACTGTGTTGCGCATAACTTATTACCTATACGACCACCCTTCGGGTGATAAGCAGGTGAGGGGGGGAGGAACCAACGTCGCACTCGATCGATCTCCCTATCGATCTCCCTATCGATCTTATGATCGATCTCATTCGATCGATCTCACAATCGATCTGACTATCGATCTCACAATCGATCTCACTATCGATGTCAGGATCGATCTCGAATTCGGTCTTACTATCGATCTCACGATCGATATCACAATCGATCTCACAATCGATCTCACATTCGGTCTCACTATCGATCTCACTATCGATATCACTATCGATCTCATGCGATCGATCTCACAATCGATCTGACTATCGATCTCACAATCGACCTCACAATCGGCGACATCATCATCCTCATCACCTCCGTCATCATCATCACCATCATCACCATCACCATCATCATCATCATCATCATCATCATCATCACCATAATCACCATCATCACCATCATCACCATCACCACCATCATCACCATCATCATCATCACCGGCACCATCATCATCATCATCATCATCATCCTCATCATCCTCATCATCATCATCGTCATCATCATCATCATCATCGTCATCATCATCAACATCATCATCATCATCACCACCACCATCATCATCATCATCCTCATCCTCATCCTCATCATCATCTCTCACTGTCGATCTCACGATCGATATCACAATCGATCTCACAATCGAAATCATCATTACCATCATCATCATCATCATCCTCATCATCCTCATCATCATCATCATCATCATCATCTTCAACATCAAAATCATCATGATAATCATCATCATCATCATCACCATCGTTACCATCATCATCATCCTCATCCTCATCATCATCATCATCTCTCACTATCGGCCTCACGATCGATATCACAATCGATCTCACAATCGACGACATCATCATCATCATCCTCATCACCATCATCACCATCATCATCATCCTCATCATCATCATCATCACCATCATCACCACCATCACCATCATCACCATAATCACCATCATCACCATCATCACCATCATCAACATCATCGCCATCATCATCATCGTCATCATCATCAGCACCATCATCATCATCATCATCATCATCATCATCATCACCAGCATCATCATCATCCTCGTCATCATCCTCATCATCATCATCGTCATCATGATCATCATAATCATCGTCATCATCAACAACATCATCATCATCATCATCATCATCAGGACCACACGTCACCAACACGGCCCAAAAAGTGCCTTAAAACTGCCCCAAAGACCGCCAAGACGGCCCTAAAACGTCCCAAGAGGGCCC